TCCACGCCCGCACCTCCGCCCTCACCCGCACCAACGCCCCCCACGACCCCGCCACGCGCCCCCGCCCCCACACCCACACCCCACCCACACCCACACCACACCCACACCCCCGCCCACACGCACACCCTTGTTTGTCATTTCTGGAATAAGTTTTTAAGTTTTTAAGACTTCACTAGGGGTGTCAGTTTCGGGTTCCATTCCGAGGTACGGGAACCCGCAGTAGGTTCCCGTACCCGGGAACGCGAAACCCGTACCGGGTTCCCATACCTAGGAACGGGGAACGCGAAAATCAGTTCGGGTTCCCGTTCCTGGGAATCCAGAAACCCATCGTGACGTTATAAAGATGAGCGGCATAAGTATGTACGACAATGTCTAGATTATCGGCAATGTGTGCAAACCCATGTTCAAATGATTCGCCGAACTCTAGGAAGCAGAAACCGGGCGGATTATCCTGCTTGGAATAAAATTTTACCGGTACTTGTTGCTACAGTAACTAAGTGAGTACCGGTCATGTGAAGTTATCCAAACTTATGAACCAAAGTGCGCCACTGTCAACGCGTTGTGTTTTAAATCACGTCGACAGTAGCGCACTTTGGTTCACAAAAGTTTGGATCACTTCCGATGACCGTGAGTACCATGTTTCTCGTAAGATTCATGGCTGCAGACCCCTTGAGATGCATTTGATCCCCTGAGAGCTGACCGCACTCTTAAGATAATACTTTGATATCTTAATAACTTCGTTTGATTCATGTTACTATAGTAAATCTGAAGTTGACACAACTATGGTCGGTATCACTTTGACGATATCGCTTATTCAACTGAGTTGAGGCGATTTCAGCGAGTCTAAATTCAGTTATTGTATACTGCTTCAATTTCTTTTCTTGAAAAATGCTTCTGAAGTTTTCGAGAATTCATAAAACAACATAACTATGTTACTTAGCTGTGTCATGCGAGTTATGTAACTGCTTCCTTATTAAATTATCACTCTCTGTTCGCATTAAGTGTAGGTACATGTGACATTCTGTGGTCACATGATACGGCAAGTACAAATCATGAGTCTCTTCTATTTAAAAAAAATGATTCGATGAGTAGAACTAGCGTTTCACAACTTTACAACGTGCCATGATTAAAATATTTGCACAATCAGCAATATAGTGCAAAACGTAGTATAGAAATTTCATTAACAGAGAGCGTATAATTATGCATAGTAAGGAACAGCTTTAAGCAGCACCTCTAGTTCCTCTAAGGTACTAAGTAGTTTTTCAAATTAGGTGTAACACCAAATATGAAAACCAGTAATTTTGAGAAACCATCGTGACGCTGTTTTATTATCAAACGAGTACAGTTACTTCCGTGGCTCTAAGTTGCTTTGCATATAATAAATTCATTTCTTTTCTTTATTTGTTTTCGTGTTTTTTACAATCTGTCAATACAAATTCAAGCAAGTAGTTACGGATTTCTATCCTAAAAGATAATAATTCAAATGGAAACTCATTTCTTTATTGACAATTATTATTCTATGAATAATTATGATAACAGTTTCAATACGAATAACGTTAACATCAACACCAAGACAAGATACATGTTTTCATAAGCTGTAGTGTTAACACAGAAAACGTCGCAAGTGTTTAAGTTTAATGAATAATGACAAAAATGAGATCAACAAGAGATTTCAACGAAAAGAAACAACGAGCAAAAGAAATAATAGTGATAGAACACTTCAAGGAAATGAATTGATGAACAAAAAAACATTTCATGAACAGAAAATGATAACAACAAAAACTTTCAACACAAAGAAACAATTACCACAAAAAACGACAATGATAATTAATAAAAGCGTAAACAAAAGATAAACAAGTTTTTTTCATACAATATTTCCCAGTGAAAAATTTTCACGATTTTCATTGGATTTTTCTACAACAAAATCAAAATTAAAATCGATTGATAATTTTGATTATTTTTGATCACCACTTAACTATTACTTGACATTGTTACTTATTCAGTGTGGAATTTTCTGATTAAACTCGGATGATTCTGTAGCAAATCAAAGATTATCAATCGATTAATATTTTTGATTATCCTGCAAAGTAATCCGATTTCAATCAGAAAACTTCACACTGAATAAGTAACAATATCAAATAATAGCTCAGTAGTGATCAAAAATAATCAAAATTATCAATCAATTATAATTTTGATATTGTTGAAGAAAAATCCGATGAAAATAGCGAAAATTTTTCACTGGTTTAACTGTAGAAGAGCAGATCAATTCGATTTCATTGATTCAATGAGATCTGATAAAATTTGCTGATCACGCAATACCATAGTATATTTCAAAGCTTTTGGTGAAAGTGAAGATCGATTTTTGCGCTGAACATTACCAGCTATGCTGAACAAACCTTCACTCGCTACAGAAGTAGCTGACCGTATATTGTAGGATCTTACTAAATCAAACAATCCTGGTAATTCATTTCGATAACCATTCCAGAATTGTTGGAACGTATTTTTTTCGTGTACATGATCAACATAAAATGCTACTTCCTCTTTTCCTGAGCGTTGGCGATGAGAAGTTGTAGTTGCCGATGATACGAAATCTGTAACACCACATTCCATGAGAAAATAATCCAGTAGATCCATTATTTCTTCTTTAATTGAATTTTCATTTGAACTATGATGATTCTGCTGAATTATAGCATTTGTATTGAGCTTCTTCATGAATAATTTGTTCAGCAACATATTTATCTTCATCAAGCATTTTTCGATAGACTTTTGGATCAAGATAAGCAGCAATCTAAATAAAATGTGATAATAAAATACAGCTCAAACCAATGAGGTTCGAAAAGTTGCCTGTCCTTTGGATTACAAAGCCAAGCTTGATCGCTTACTAGAACAGGCATCCGCATGATCTCGCCGCCAAGAGTGATAGACGTAAGAATCCCGAACCCAGATGGGTTCCATTCCTTAGGCACGGGGAACTCGCTTGAAAATCCACCTACAGAAGTTTTTGACTATCTGTAGACATATAGATATACATATATTTCAAGTCCTATTGAGACGTTCTGGTTACCCAATATCTGAGAATGCAAACCACCCAGAGTCCTAGACTCCAGAGAACAGTAACTAGAAAAAGTTTAGTAGAAATAGAAAAGGTGTCCAAATTTTGTGCTCTTCAAAATCCAATTAGAAAAAAGACATTTCTAGTGCATTTCCCTTTCCTAGAAACCTCAGAACCTGGTTTGGTTCACACCCTCATCAAAGCCGAGGATCCAGATTGACTTGATACTGATTGAAGTATATAGTACATTTATGTCTTCAGACAGCCGAAAGTTTTTATGCACGAATTTTCAAGCGGTTTCCGGGTCTCTAGGAATAGAGTCTTAAGGAACAGGAACTCGGCAATCTTAACTACAGGTCTAAAATATTCAATCAAGTATCATGAAGAAATATATATCTGAGTACGTGAAACTTAAATGTTTTGACTCATTTAGAAGTAAAAGCTAGATCTTACATTTGAAACTTTTTTTCTACCACGTATGCTGTAGCTTACTGTTCTTGTCGATGGACGTCAAACTTTTAGGATTATAGTTTATAATACGACGTAGAAATAGACATGGATCAATTGATCTAAGTATTTTAATTGTTAGTAAAGAGATTATTTTGAAGTCAAACAAAACTTTCCATATTTATTCTCATCCACGATGTCTGACTTTGAATGTGTATGAAAAAAGCTTCAGAGAACTTGATTTTGCAATCTATCCATTATTCAACTTAGTGTGACTTATGAAATGAAAGTGAACCTAGAAATCTTAGTTCACTTACTAGAATTGCTTCCTTTTGTTCAACACTTAATTTTTCATCGAAATGATATTTAAAAACAATAAGTAAATATTTTTTAATTATATTTTCAATTTTAGCTTGTGGACTTGAGGATGATTGTGTAAGAACATGGGATAAGCCACGTTTTATAACATAGACAACTGATAAAGTTTGATAGTGTTTACCAGACAGCCATCGGCAAGCATCATAAAATTTGCAAAGAACATTGCGTACTGAAATCAAGTGATCCCAATCGTCTTCGGTAAATATCATTTGTTTCAAATGTTGTACAACAGAAAATGATAAATTACCAATAACATTACGATGAAGAATCGTCATGCTTTCTATAACAGTTTGGTAATCAACAAAACGATTCAGCATGAGATAGCACGAATTCCAACGAATTATACAGTCCAATATTAAACCCTACAATATTCAAAATACATGCAAATTTATTTTTACTGATGAGAAAAATCTTGAGCAGTGTCGTAAGGTAGCTTTCAAACCAGAGCTTCATAATCAATTGGTAGGAATGGACTATTTTCTTATTCATTGAATAATCTGTCAACAACGTAGTAGTACATAGTTGATGAAGAAAGAACGAAAGAAGTTAATATGCTGAATGGGTTTATTATTAGTCAATGTACTCTCAGAAAATAACATCTCAATTATACTTAGTACTGTAAAAATTAGCTCTCGTTCGAATCAAAACTCTCACCCTTTTCTTCAACCTAAGTTACTTCACTGAAAACTAATAGAGAAAGCCCATAGCATTCGATACTTTATTTTTTTTGTTATCAAAGCTTTCGTTTCCAAAATAAGGAAATTATATTGCACAAAATACCTATAATTTCGTTTTGCCTGTTAAATTTTAAGAAATATTCAATCAAATAGGCAGCTCTCTGTGAAAATGTTTACAATGATATTGTCTCTCATTCATTAAAGACTAAAAGCGTTTAAATATTTCAAATATAAGGGCATGACTCTTTTAAATATTTTTATACTAAGAAAAGCAATATAATGTCACGATTCAAGACAAAAAATATTTCTAGGTTTAAGCATGTCAGAATACAGGACCTGCCCTAGTATAGTGCACTAAAATGAAAACTTTACAGAGTTGAAATGAAACTAAACTGTATTCAAGATTTAGAAGTGCGTATAGAACCTAAAACAAAGACTAAACAGGTCTTCCAGGATTAATTTCTCAAGAGAGTTTTGAAATACTGAATGTACTTTGATTAGACCTCGAACTGGCTGAGATTCTGTTAACGCGTTCGAAACTGTGTGTTGCTAATGAGGTCATTATTATATTACATTGCTTATACAAGTTTTTCTTGATGTTATGCATCCTAGTATTTGTTTTTAAGAATCTTAATAACTCTCATGTATTATGTAGATTATGATTATTTCAGTTTTTTATAGGTTGTACAAACCTAACAGGCACTAAATTACATGTTATTTATCTGGCGATTTTTATGACTTTTCAATATGATTAGTGAAGTCGTTTATGTTCTAATCCTGATGGTATTCACCAACAATAGGCTTTCAAATTTAAATTGACGAACTCTATTTCTAGTATATAAACAATTACTTACATCACCAGGTAATTTCTTTTCTTTTTTTTGTTGCTGAACATATTCATGTAGATTTGATGATTTACGAACAAGATTGACGAGTCGACGAACTTGTTTAATTAATAAACGAATTTTTTGTAAAGTTGGATCTGTCTGAGCATCAATCGATGGAATTTCATAATTTTGCTCATCTTCAGAAGATAATGAAGTTTCGTCTTCATCAGTAGATATTTGAATATTAGATGTTGCATTTTCATCACCGTCAGCATTATTTTCTTCAAAACTAGTACTACCTTGATCTTGTTCTTCAGATGTTGAATAATCGTCGTCATTATCAGTATCTTCGTCCGTAGACGATTCTGATGGTAAATCAACATCACCGGTGGTGACTTTTTGCACCGGATTTAAATATGAAGATCTAAAGAAGATGGTTTTGATTAATAGCAATAGAAAGAAAAACGATTTAAGTCTAAACGACAGTTCATTTTTGAATACTACGCAAAAATTAAGTATTGCATGCGTCAAACTATTATCTCGATCAATATCAGCTTTGTCTAGTTTATAGTTTAGAATATAAATTATGCATAGAAGAGTTCTTTTGACTTAGTTTTTATGAATTTTCGTGTTTCTTCCTTACCGTTTTGATTCAAATAGTAGGATTTTTTATTGTTTACTGTAATTCAAATAATTTCTAATACTCTTTTTTAAATAAAGCAGAACTAGATTCATAAAGCTTTTTCCTAAGTGACGAGAAATAGTGATGGGAAATTATTAGTAATATTATATTTTTAAAAACTCGTGGATTGCGAAACCGATACTGAGATATAACAAAGATAGAAATACAACTAGACATTATTCATAATGGGACTCAAATCGAGGCAACATATTTCATTTGCTTTCTCTTGTTATTTTTTAAGTAATGAATAGCCGAAATAATAATACAAATGTAAATGATTAATAATCGATTAGATTGGTAGATGTTATGACTTATTCTATGAGTGTATCTGATCAAATCATAGTATTTTGTACTGATGAGCACGACGTATTACTTCACTCAAACCAAGATCCTTTAAAAAAAAATCTTAGAAATTTTTTTCATAAATCTCTTACAGAAGAATGTTTCGCATTCGAAGATTGACTTCTCTCGCTCCAGCATTTAGAATAGCCAGAACTGAAACTTCTGTAGTTTTTTCAAGTTTTGCTTTTGTCACAAAAAATTTTAAGCTTATGAGTCCGTGCTAAATATAGTATAGTTTTAGTAAGAAAGAAATTCGCTTTAGCCTTTGGTTTACTTTTGTCCAAAATTAGTATAGGACCTGTTTTTCTGAATAATCATACTCTTTCTCTTTCCTGTCTGTAACGTTTTGAAAATTTGATACACTTTTCTTACTTGGTGTCTTTCTTCGATGGAAGGACTGTGGACTTGACCATAAGATGTAAATTGTGTGCCGTACAGGAATGATGTATACCAATATCGAGATCATATACTGCATTGATCATGTTTGGTGCATTATCAGTAGTGATTGATCGAACCTTTTTTCAATTTTATAAAACATGATTTCGTGCTTAATGAATCTTTTGAGACGGCTAGCGACATGTTGTCCTCGTATCAAACGAAATCCAAGTGTAATAGAAATAAGTTTTGTTTGTTTATCATAAAAATGCCCAGTTAAACAAATAAAATATCGATTTCGACTATTTTTCCATAAGTCTGTTGTTAATGCCAAATGTGGTATATTTTCTAAGACATTTCGAAGTGCTAAACGGTGTTGTTTGTATAAAATATGAAGTCGTCGTCGAATAGTTGTTCTATGTAATGGCTTGTAATTTGGTACTGCAGTAGCAAAAAACGATTTTATACCAGGACGTGCAAAATCATTAAAAGAACGTGAATCAATTATTATTGCACTAATAAGTTTTTCATCGAGTTGTTGTTTAAGTTCAGCAGAAATTAATGTATTTTTATCTTGATATTTTTTTCGTTGAGAATTATACAAATATTCAGGTTTTTTGTGTACAATACCAAGATGTCGACGTAAATTGGTTGTGGAACGACCGTGTTTTTTAAAATTCTACAAAACAATTTCTACATATTATGTTTTTATCTTTCAATGTCGTACGTATAAAAAAAAGATCCTTTTGTATAATTTTAGATTGTTCTAAAGTTTCTTTCAGGATAATTTCGTTTTCAATTAAATCTATTGATTCTCGATGTCGGAGCAAATATAACTCAAAATTTCAGTAAAAATTTGCGCAGCTTATTCCCAGTAAAGACTACTGTCAGGTAGCTACATAGTTACTAATCGTTTCGAATATATAGACTAATAAATAAATATATATATATACATGAATAAGCACTGTGAAAGGAAAATGTATTTTTAATCTAAGACTAATCTTTAAGCATTTGAAATTTGTACTTATTTATTGACGCCTTCAATAAATGAGTTTTAACATTGCTTTAAAGTAGATCAAATATACATTCTTTCATAGCCTCATAAAGAGCAGCGCTTTAGTTCTGGTCCATAACACTTCTACCAAACTCATGAATGAGACAAGAAAGGTAAATTGGTTTTACTGTTTTGCTGTTCTTTTTCCTTTAGGTTTAAAATTTTAAATCACATAAAAGTTTAGTCTTCAAGTTGAGTTAGTAGAAGCTACTCTTTTTCGTTCTGTCTAACATTTGTTTGCCGACTTGTACTCTGTTTTGATACGTTTTTTGCTGCTTTATGTATAAGTTTGCACCATCATTACCATTGAAATAGAAAGAAATACAATACTTTCGATAAAATATAAGGCAAAAACTACAAGGTCATATAATATATACCTGTTAACTGAGCAGAATATTCTATTTGAATAATTATTATAGGACAAAGAACAGAGTTGGCTCTTTCTGATGATAAATCAAACTTGGTGACTGCGAACTTGTAAATATAAAATAAGATTATTAATCCTAGGAAATGATTGAAAACGATGCCACTGATAAGATGTTTGAAAGTTAAGGGTATATGCTAAGAGACTACCGTGCCATATTAACATGTTTTTGGGATAAATGCATCTGAACACAACAACGCTAATACTGAAAAAAACGGAAAATAGCTTCTTTTGAAAATGATCATTTTTTATGTTCTTTACAAGAAGATATTGATGTATAAATTCTTACTGAAGCAAGTTCTTCATTGTCTATATGGAATATAGCTTTTCTATTCGCACAAACCTTGACATTCTTCATCAACTTTCAAGCCTCAACGTTTAGAAACTGCTGTATGAGTAGTGACGGTGTCCACTTATTTGATAAATCGAGGATTAGAACCAAGATGAACATTTATCGAATGGATTTTCTCTTGGCGTATCTAATCACACAGCTTCAATATTCATGAATGCATTCATCAATCATCTATAAGAGTTTATTCTTATTAGTTGTAATATATGAAATCGTAAGTGTTTCATCTAAAGCTAGTTCAACATATTTATAGCTTTATAGTTTCAAATGGTATGACGAAAAATATGTAGTGCTTACACGAAAATAAACGAGATAATTGAAATATCTTAGTTCCTGAGATATGAATAGCGTATTTTAAACAAAAAGGAGAAAATTCAGTAAATATTTATGAATACAGAAGTAAAAGAACCTAAGCTGTGAAATAAATTTTTCCGATTGGTAATAATTCTAGCGTGAAGATAGCTAGGTAGTTACATAAGTAGAAGAAAACAATATCTCGAAAAATTCTCCGCCAAATTCAAACTATATCGTAATATTATTTCATTGAGTCATTCATAGTGGCATTGCTTTCAATATTTCTTTAATCATTCGAAAAGTTCCCATCAGCCTCATATATTTGAGCTCTGACAGAATATTCGTTTTATTTCAGTATCAGAAGAGTATTAACGGAGAAAGCATATTCTTTAATCCTTAAAGCTACTTTTGGACATTACTAATATTCTTAGCCCTAAATTTTTACTACATTATAATATCAGTTTTGAAACTAAAATTAAATTGATGCTTACCGCTTGACAAAGTTTGCATGTATAACCAGTATGATCCTCCCATTCTTCGAAAATTTCCAATATATCCTGTTTTTTAATTTTTTTCGTTGCTGATTCATCAGGAGTTGATCTAGTAACATTCATTGAATCTTCATTTACTTCATCGGAATCACTGATTGATGGACTTTTATTATTCGTATTTATTAAACTTGTAGTACTGTTATTAGTATCTTGACTAGACAAAGACAGTGAGCTGATCATGTTCGATGAAGTCATTTCGCTATCATGAGGATCAATATTTATTTCTATTACTTCTTTATTTGTTGTTGTTAATCGTTGTTGTTGGGAATCAAAAGATTTTTTTTGAATCATTTGAGTTGTTATTATTATCATTAATATTAGAAAATTGAACTCGTCGTACTGATTGTCGAAGCCTGCGTAAAGTACGAGGTGAAGATGAGGAAGTTTGAGAGAGCGAACGACGTCTTAACGAATTGCTCATTTTTCAATTGATAATGAATGAAAATATGACGAAAAAAAATGTAAATAATCAAAACAATACAGACGTCCGTGTATAAGACAGAGAGGAACGAAAAAAAAAATCGTTGATTAATGGAATGAAATTACAAAAACAACACGTTAATTTTCTCCATTGAATCTTTTTTTTGTTTCATCGTAGGGTGGGCCAAGTCTATTTCCTAGAATTTTTTTGTGCACATTCCATGAAACATTATTGTCTGATATACAACGGATGTGCATATTAAAAACGAATTAATCAGATATGCAATAGTTTTTCTTTTCAAATAAATTTAAAGAAAATTATAAATTCTGAAATATCATCCGTTAATTTTTTTTTCTATTGAATAATTGGAAAATCATTGAACTACCTTAATAATTCTTGACTTAGTGGCGTTTCCGATTTATTGAACTTGCTCGCATTAAGAACATTGTTATTTATTCGAATAGCTATTGGAATTTTTCACAACTATAACAAGTCAACGTAAAATATATTGCAATTTTTGACATATTATACAACTGTTCGTTTTCAGTCTGTCTAGAATACAATCTAACGTTTCTTTTTCTTTCACGAACAATTTCTTATGGAAATCACGCAGAATTTTTTATCCAATTTCTCCTTTTGTTTTTAAGATGACTTAAAGAAACTGTTTTATTCAAATATAAAAAAAAGTTAAGTGATTGCTTCGTTCTCGGTGATTTTATTTTTTAAACAAATATTTGTATTTATCATGAAATTAATATTGAGAGAGTTGTTTATGAATAAATTATATAGTTGATAGTCAACATAACGTGCTTCAGGTAAAGGTGATACTTCAAAGTTCATTAAATTTTAGAACCATTCAAAATATTAAATGTTTGAAACAACTGAGCAGAAAGAACGAATACTAGATATAAAGTCATATGAATTTATGATTGATCTCGATTTTAGCGTACTTCAAGGAAACAAGTTGCTTAGTTACAGATAATAATGAATTGACATATATCACTGCGCAGTGGTTTTGAAGAAAGAGTGTGCGAACATTAAAAATAGCATTTTTATAATCAGCGTGCTCGATTGCTGCACTCCTCATCAACATCTCACAATGTACTACTGCACTCAAAACAAATATTTTTTTTACAAAAACCAATGCAAAAAAAAAACAATGAGAACAACAAAAGCAATGGTTCGCACTGGATTCGAAATAACATCACGTTCCAAAAGCTCTTAGTAGCTCAGTTGTTGTGAATTGTTCGTTCTCTTTCTTTATCGTGCATCGTTCTTATTCTAATCAAGTCTATTCCACGTAGTGAATTTTCAAATGCAATATCATCATTCATTGCTACTAAACCTCTACAGTTGCCATATATATATAAATTTTGGTTTTAATCTAAATTTTTTTTTCAGTTACGTTTATCCCTTTCTCAAAATATTATCAGATTCAATATAAACACCAAACTAGAAAAGTCTTTAATTGTTTCTATAGTCAGGCCAAACAACAGTAATACAAAATAAAAAGTTCTCACTTTGCGAAACAGTTCTGAAGAATAATTTGCAAGGCTAGGTTATTTTTTTTAGAAACCAGGTCAAAGCTTCCCAATCGGATCCTATCACACCCTATAAATTCGGATACTATCTGGCTGACGATTCTGAACATCGAAATCCAGCATTGTCGAGCGATTCTCAAAATTTTCCGACAGTCGTATAATCTAGGATCCAGTTGATCAGATTCAACATAAGTCGATCATCGGAATCTATCGGATCCAACGAGATCTGAGAGTAGCGATTGTTATATTTTACATAAATCATATTTTAAAAAAATTGTTGATTCATCTTTTCTTGGACCAGAACTGTCCATCACTTTACTAATCAATATTATATGTGGTAGACATAATTTTATTTTATATTACAATTTATTTTTACTTAAAATCAATATTATTTATTCTAAATATAAATCTTGTTTTATTTTACAATCAATTTTCTCATCAAGTGATTTTTTTACTTATTTTATTTTAGAATTACTTCTTTTGCACGCAAATCTTATCTTATTTCAGGATCAACTTTATTTTATTTTATAAGTATCTATCAATTCTTCTTTTTAGTATGTTTATTCTTTTAGATATAAATTTTTTTATTGTTGTAGATTCAGTTTCATTATGTAAGTAACTTTTTATTTATATTTTTCAGAATTATTCATTTTATATATAAGTTCTATTTTATCATTAATTTTATTTATTTATAATTATTTTCTCTTATGTTTTGTTATCCTTTACTTTATTTTAGATATTAATTTTACATTTTTTAAAAGTCAATTTTATTACATAAGTAATGTTTTGTTTATTTTAGAAATATATATTTTAGATATATATTTTTATCTTATTTTCAGCTACTTTTTCTTTTTACATTTAAATCTTATCTTTTTATTAAATTGTATACACACTCTTTATTCTTTTTGCTTTAGTATTATTACTTTTAGATATACATTTTCTATTTTTTAGAACCACTTTTATCATAATGGGTACGGCAGAATAAATAGTTGATCCATATTTTTTCGATATTTTGTTCACTTTTAACTGTTGAGGCTTTATTATTTTCTTCTAAAAGATTCGTCGTAGAATTCTGCACAAAGTAGTACAATTTAATCAACTCATACATTTTTCTTTCTTTTTAGAACATCCCCTAGTCTCAATCCTGTTCATTCCTTGAGAAACCCTGAAAGGATCTGTCAGGATCCTGAATCTCAAGGATCCTGCTAAGTTTTATTCAGGATCCT